CCCCCGAGCGGCGCACGGGCCAGGGGCTGCCGCCTCCCGCCGCCGCCGACCTAGAGTCCCCGCGGCCCTCCGTCCTCCCTCACCGCTGCAGTACTCCCTGTGGGCGCCGAAGCTGGAGCCGGCCGCGGCTAGGAGTTTCTCCAAACGTTGACGGCCCGAGTGTCTTCCAAATGCAAGTTTCTCGCCGCCTTCGGGGTAAGTCTTTCCCCCCCTTCCCTGAAGCAGTCGAATGCAGTTCACGAGAGCTCGCAGTAGCTCAGGAAAGCGACATCGTCTCTAGCGCCTAAGTCCCTTTCCTGCAGTGCAAAGCCAAAGCGACTCTGGCTCCGGGACTCTCTGTGGGCGGAATCGACGCTGAGGAGTTGGTGCAATTATTTTGTTGCAAGGTAGGAAGCCAAGAAGCTTGCATGCAACAGACCGGCATGAATAAATGTATGTTTCTCCCTCCCTCCTGCAAGAAGGGGAGCTGGTTACCGGCAGAGTTCTCCCACTGCAGACTCTCTAAGAAAGAGCGTGCAAGAACTGGAGACCGGGAGGGAGACGGCCCTCTTCCCCTCACTCTGTTTCTCTGGCTGCAGCTTAGAGCAGACCCCAATTCCGCCTCGCGCTTCTTTATCCTTTCGCAGACAGCCAATCAGCCGCTGTAACTAACGCTTCCTCGTGCCAAGCCCCTCCCCTGTCCTTCCCATTGGCTTGGAACCCGATGCAATAATAATCTCCGCGTGCAATGAGAAGCTCCAAATCTGACCTCATTCCAATTTACAGAGCAAACTTTTTAAAAGGGCTAGAAGTACAGCTGAGATTTCTGCTGCCTCTTTTTTTTCCCCTTTTGCTGGGCGCGCGCGCGCGCGTGCCTGTATGTGTGTGTGTGTGTGTGTGTGTGTGTGTATGTGTGTGTGTGTGTGTGCGCGCGCGCGCATGTGTGAAGAGGATGTTAATGCATGAAGTTATTAAGGGAAGAGACGGAAATGTATTCTAGCCATTATGTTAGATAACAAGGGGCTTGGAGGGGGGGGTAAGGGTGAAATACTGTAAATGGAAGCTTTCTGCTTAAAAGCCGAGTGATTATTTTTATTAGTTCTTTTCAGCGCAGGAATAAAGAATCAGCCTTTGGTGCAAAAATCTCTTTTCTCAGCTCCTTCTTAAAGCTAGAGATGTAAGTGGGGGGAGCCCCAACAATAAATCAATGGATATTGAAAACCATTAAGAAAGTGGTACCTAGACACCTGTCATCACAATTATTTTTAACAACTCTAGGTACAGCACAGACGTTGGTGTATTGTGTAAATCCCTTCAGGGTGCTATCTGTGCTGTTTTGTGAAAGGCAGAGGATTTTTTTTTCTTTCAGTAATTGCTTACTCTTTTAGTCAAACAGAGGTTAACTAGTTATTTAATGATTTCAGCTCCCCTATAAATCCTGGGTAGCCCAAACAAGGAGATTTTCCTTGAAACTCTAAGACAGTGGCCCATAATTACCTCAATAAGAGATTTTGTGTGGTTTTGTGGAGGGCGATCATGGTGAATACAGGATGGGAATTGACTTTACTTTCTAAGTATTTGTTTTCCACAGTTTCCAAAGGATAAGCTCATTATCTGCTTCCCTCCTCCCTTCAGATTACTCGCTCTCAGTTTTTCCTTACCCATTTTCTCCTGTGTGTGTGTGTTTGTGTGTGTGTGTTATTTGGTACAAATGAGCCTAAAAGTCCAAAAAAGAGAAAGGGGTAGCAAAGGTGAGTGGGGCTGCTGAACCCATCTCAGGTCCCTCTGCTGATCTTTCTTTCAGGGTCTTGCTTGTCCTCTATGCTTTGGAAACCCCACAAGCTTCATTATAGACAGCTGTTGTTAGGGCTCGCTGAGTGTGTGGTTATAAACTACTGATGTGTGTCCCGAGCCCTCTGTGACTCCTAACACCCTTTCCTTGGTAATGCAAATGCCACTTCTCCTAAAAGCAGCTTGTTTTCGAGAGACCAAGATGGAAGATTGTCAATGATGGCAGAAAAAGTAATCAAAAACCCCATTTGGTGGTCCAGGTCTGTTATCTCAGCTCTTGGGAGGTGGCAATGGGAAGATTGGGAGTTCAAGGTCATCCTCCTGCACTTCATAAGAATTCTAGGACAGCCTGGGCAATGTGAGACTCTGTCTCAAAAAGGAAAAAAAGTGCACATGTGCACACACATGGCAGACACATGTGCACACACATGTGCACACACATGGCAGACAAGGTGCCTGGATACTTAGACTGTAGACTAAGTTGGCCGTACGAATCACCCTTTCCCAAGATCTGCAAATTGGATTTTTAGTAAAAACTGATCTTTCTCAGTACAATGATAGACTGATTTTCATCAGGCCAGTGACAGGCCGGCGTCCAACTTAAAAGTCAGCTTTGGATCCATAGCAGAGTAGTTCCGGGTGGTATATTTCCACTTATCTTGTCAGCCTTTTTAAGTATCCAGGCTTAGAAGAGGCCTAGGGTGTCAGAGTTAGACATTTACTGGAAAGAATGCCCTGTGGAGACAGCTGATCAGGATTCCCAAGACCAACCACAAGCAAGAATGTTTTTGTGGGCAAAAGCAAATAATTGTTTGACCATTTGCTATTCATCACAACCCTTTTTATTCCCAGAGGATGAATCCTAAAATAGCACGTGCCTCCCCCCACCCAAAAAACTTCCACAAATAAAGGTATTTTGCATAACAAAGGCAAGGCATATATGTTTTTTTCCTGATATGCACAGATGCACATCCTTTAAATACTATGAGTCTGACAGCTGAATTATTCCAAGAGGTCTATTGTCTATGAAATCAACATTTTCAATATGATAAAATAAATGTTTGTTCTGTAGATTCTGTACTAAATAATTTTGATAATGTGGCAAAAGATGAGTGTTGATGTATTTGATGGTATTTCCACCAGTGGTGTAAATCAGCCATCCTAATTACACTCATTCTTAGCACAAAGATTTTATTTAAAAAAAAATTGAAAAAGTAGTTCCTGAATTAATTCTTTTGATAAATGCATTTAAACAACAACAAAAAACAGACTTTACATTGTACCATTATAGTATATGCCACCAAAGGAGAAAAACCCTTTAAGAGAGAAAAAAAAAACGTATTTTAAATTAATTAATTAATTTTTGACTTCAAGTGTACCACCTGCCTCTGTGCATATATGGAGGTCAGAGGACAACTTGCTGGAGCCAGTGCTCCCCTTCCACTCCTCTGGGTCCTGGAATTATCTCGAGTTGTCAGTTTGGCAGCAGGAGTCTGCACCAGCTGCAAGAGTCCACCCGCTGGAAAAAGCCCTCCTCGTCTCCGGGACTAGAAGATGCCCCCATTTCTACTGTTTCTTTAGAACTGGTGAAATACGGGCTGGTAGCTTCCACTGATGCTATTACATCATTACAGACTCTACGTCTGTAGAATATATACTTGAGAGCTTGGGCTGACTGAAGTGGGCCAGTTTCAGTTCTTAGAGCACTTGGAATGCAGCAGACCTGACAGAGAGCTTTTCATTAAAGTCATCTTGTCGTGAGTAAAGTACACCTACATTGGGATGGATTGGGTTTCATACCAAATAATGGGAGAGGGCTTTCTGTGTCTCATTACCTAACTTCATGAGCTTTGGAATCGGTTCTCCATTACTGAAGCCCTCCATTCCCCCAGATATCAGCTGTTCGGGGGCCCTAGTAAATCAGTGCCCAGTGTTCCTTCCCTCTGCTCTTTTTGTATGAACAGAAAACCCAGATCATTCTGCAAACAAGTCCTGACTTAGAATAATCAACTAATGGCCTTTATTGGAAACGATACTAGGCCTTTCACATTTTGAATTAAGGCAGATATTTATTTTATTCCATTAATTGCCATCCATTTGACACGAAAATGTAATATCTGCTAATGCATTTTTCTTGCTTCTGCACACCTGCACGACATAAAACCCAATATCCACAAAATGGTATGGGGCATAGATGGAAAGATTTACCTCCACTGCTTAATGTGTTCCTATAGCTCTGAGAGAGGAAAACCTGCATGGAAATTAGTTTCACAAACCTGGCTTGGCAGTATTTTTCAAGATTTCTGTTTGATTTGGGTTGACTGTAGAAACTGCGATTGTACGAACGGGTCGTCTTGAGCATTCAGTTACAAATAAACAGAGGTGGGGAAGCATTGTTAATTTTGTTGGCTGGAAAGTGCTCTGGGAAACCGAGGGTCATCAGCCTTGTTTTGGGTTCCACACCGAAAGAACTCTTTCCCACCCCCGCCCCCCATGCGCTCCATCCTTGGGGCTGAGGAAGTTGTTCTGAAACTGGTTTAGGAGACTATTGAAACCTACTAATTCTTGAAGTTTTGGTTGTGACCCTTAGCCTGTAACGGCCGAACTCTCTCCATAATAATTCTGATTCGAAAAAATATTAAGCAGGATAAATGAAATCTGTCATTTATTTCCACTGTCAGAATACATAGAGATAAGAAACATTTATTCCTAATAATTTCACCGCCTTCTCATCCCTCATAGTCTGCTCTTCATACCCATGCCAGTCAATGTCAACACATTTTTCCTTGACTCTTGAGAACACGCAGAAAACGAGTGTGTGCGCGGGCCGCATAGATAGGAAGCATTAACTGGGTTTTCTGCTCTGTTTCCCCAGACAGGCCTGGCACACCCACCCAGATCTGTGGCGTTGCTGAGTGCAGACAGCGCCTCCCAATCCGGGAGAAGCAGCCGCCAGGTGGCAGCGCCGAGCCTGCCTGAGTCTCCAGCAACGTGGGAAAACGTGGGGGGAGAGCCAACTGTCTCTTCCTGGTCTCCCGAACCAGTTAACCCCCAGGCTTTCACCTTTTCTAGGAAGTGGTTCAAAGGACCAGTGGGAAACAGGGTAGGTTGGTGAATTCTGGTTATGTTTCGCCGTATGTTAAAGTTTAGGGTAATCGATCTCTGCCCTCTGTTTGCTTGTCGGAAACCCCCAATGGGGAGGAGAAGCCGAGATTCCCGGCTTCGGATCTGGTAACCTCACCCGGGAGTCTTGGGTGCCCGCACCCTGGTCATCTCCCTCGGGCGGGAAGGAGCTTAAATGCGGTTTCTCTGCCAGCTGTGCGCTCCGCTTCGGAGGCGGCAGCGACACACGGCGCATGACCAAAGGAGTCCCAAAAGCCATCCCCCGCTCCTGAAAAGAAATGGTTCCCATGGCACGGCACGGCACTCCTCGCCGAGCGCAGCGACTTGGGTCCTGCCGGAGCTCGCCTGGGACTCCCGGTGCACTGGCCGAACCTCGCCTTTCCACGACTCTTACAGAGAGCAGCTAAATTGCAATCGACTCAAGTCGTGCTTTCCTTCTGTAAACGTGGCTCGGACGGTGCTCACAGCAGCGTTTCAGCACTGTCTTCCCAGGAGGTTCATGGCCAGGCAAGCGCGGGCAACGCCCCCGCAGCCCGCTCCAGCTCCCGGGCCTTCTTTGAAGTTGCAGCTCGAGCAGACACTTCGGGAGGGGGTGGAGTGGGGCTCCTACCCAGTCCCTTTCCTGTCGCTCCCCTCCCCCGCCGCCAGCTTGGACTTGGCCACTGGAGCCCAGTTCCGCCACTGACCGGAACCGACAGCCATTTGGTCCCTTTGAGCACTCGGGTGCCTAGCATCCCCTTACCCTCCGTGAGCCTCTCCTGGACCAAACAGTGCGCACTCGGGACCGGGACTCACGCTGCAACTCTCGCAGGGACTGGTCCCCGCGGGAGGGGCGGTGCACCCGCAGCGGCCCTGGGCTCTTTCCTGGAGGCACAACGAAGAAACCCGACAATTTGCTCCCCACCCCCAGTCCCTAGCTGGATCGGGAAGGTTGAGGTGTCTGTCAGTGAGTCCAGAGAGGACTTCTAAGGCACCCCAGAATGCCTGGAGCCCTTCTCGAGGGGCGTGCCCTATGCTCTGTGTGGCAGGGAAGGCGGCTAACTAAAAGGCTGAGCCCCGGGCGTTCCTCTCGAGCAGTGCTAGTTTCTTCCCTACAGTCCCGGAAAACAGGACCCGGAATCCAACTAGGGCATCCTCTCCCAACCCTGGGGCCCCGACCTCCCCTCCCCCCCCCCCCCACCCCCACCCCGTGTAGTCCTCGTCATCGAGCCCACAGCCGAGTAAAAGCAATTACAGTTTGAAGTCCCAGGAGGCAAGAAAATGATTTCGCTTATGGAAAGAACCGCATAAAGTAGAGCTCCCTAAAGGTTAGAGAACTAGGGAGCGGCCTTGGAGGTTGAGAGCCGGGCGGGCGGGGATGGAGGGCTTGCGGCTGGAGAGTGGTCCACAGAAGCCACGCAGTGTCAAAGAGGGGAGGAGCAAGAGCGAAGGCGTGGGCTTCGCTGCAGAGGACGAGTAGCGATCGCTTAGGGTGCCAAGTGATAGGAGTCAGAGGAGGGGTGAAGCGAGCAGCCCACGGGCAGCTGGCTGGGCGAAGGGCTCCTCCTGGCACACGAGTTCTCCTTGTCCAGCCTTTCACCTCCGGCTTCCCGCTCGTGCAGACTGCACCAAGACGCACACTGCGCTGGGGGCGCTCGCGGGCATGGGATGGGCGGGTGCGGCAAGAACCAAAGAGCTCTGTACCCCACACCGCGTAGGGCGTGCTGCACACCTGGCACCCGGGACTCACCATCTGTTCAGAGCTGCCTCCTCGGCCCAGGGGTGTGGCCTGGGGACAGATAAGAGTACCTTGTGGCAGCGAAGGCTCTACATCAACTGCCACTTCAACTGCCAATCAGCGCTGGGAGTGCCCTACTGAGTGTCTCTGCTCAGCTTCAGAGCTTCCCGTGGCAGGTCTCAAGAAATGCATCACCTATTCCTTTCCTCTGCAGCTACAAGAGAATCCTGTATATACTGTAAAATAAATCCATACGGAACCGTAAGGCAGAGGCCAATTAACCTTTGTAAAGGGCCAAATTTGGGGACCAAGAGAAGGGTGTTGTTTGTTCAAGTAACCTAGAATAGAAGTTGATGATTTTTTTTTTCTTAGTAGTCCCTGAAGCGTAAAACTCCTCGGCCTGTTTGTCCCGTACTCAACAGCATCCAGATTTCCAGTCAGGCGTGGTGGATCACACCCCCAAATCTCAGCACTTGGTTGAGGCAAGAGGATTGCCACAAGTTGAAGGCCAGCCTGGCTTTACAGAGTCAGACTGCGTCAAGTGAGTTACATAAGTAAGTTTATCTATCTTGTCAAGACAAATATCTGAAGGCGCATCCTTGCGACACTCAAATTAACTAAATTTCACAAACATTATCTGAAATATTGCCTTGTTGTACAAATGTTGAGTCACTTGTTTTGTTTTTGAGACAAATTCTAATGTAACCTAGGCTGGCCTTGAAATGTGTAGCTAGAATGACTTGAAACTCCTGATTCTTTGGTCTCCTGCTCCTAAGTATGGAGATTACTGGCTTGCACCACTGTGCATTGTGTGATGCAACTTTAAATGAAAGAAAAATTGTGTGTCACCTTAACCTGCTATATACTTGTTTTTAAAAATCTACATAATACCCAATATACCATTTATTACAATCTACACAGTGTATAATAAAACTATATAGTGTATAATAAAACATTTTAAGTATGCATGGCTCATGCCTGTATTCTCAGTACCTGGGAGGCTGAGGCAGGGTGATCACTAAATGATAGCTCACTTTATGGGCTATAAAGTGAGCTCAAGGTTATCCTAGGCTACCTAGTTAAATTCTGTCTCCAAACAAAAAGTCCAATCAAGCAATCAAAGAAAAGCAGGATCTTCGAGACAGCTCGGTGGGTCAAATCACTTGCCATGACAAGGTTGGTGACTTGAGTTTAATCCACATGACCTACATACGAGAGCAGGCAGCTGTAATCTCCTCTTTCCTAGGTGCGACAGAAGGCAGAGAACGCAGACTCCTGCAGGATAACCCTGAGCTGCCCGGCAGTCCAACCTGCAGTACTAAGCACAGCGGGGCGGGGCAGGGGGACACACACAACAGAGTCTCTCAGTAAGAGTTCTAGTGAGAGTTCGCTCCGGAAAGTTGTCTTCTGACCTCCATGCCCATACCTGTGGCACACATGCCGACACATGTGCATGCACGCACACAGAACAAATGTATTTTAAAAAGATAAAAAAAATATGCATAATAAGGTTATATTTTACTAGAACACCCAAACTGTTCACAAATTCCAAATTTGTCCTGGGGGAGTTCTACCATCCAGATCTGAAGTTTGCACTGTAGCTCTCAGGCAAGTGCCAATCACTGAGAATTCTGCTGATACTTGGAGTTCCCACCTTGGCAGTGGATGTGCTGGTGTCTTGGTGATCCAGGCTCCTGGCAGTAATCCCTAAGTGTATTATGGACCTTTCCATCACAAACTTCCTTTGGCCATTGGGACATGAGTTACTGTAAGAAATTTATTCATGATTATGGGGACTGATAAGTCCTTAGATATACACTTTGTAGACTTCAGACACAGGAGGACTAATAGCACAGTTAGAATAATAATAATAATAATAATAATAAAGGCAAGGTAAAAACAGTGCCCAACCCAGAAGACAGTTGGACAAGGGAAGTTGCCTTTTATAGATATGGGAGAGGACCAATTATTTAATTCTATTAAGCCTTTTCAGCCACATTAGGGAGTCCATTCTGTCTTACTCAACTTTTAGATTAAATATGAA